TAAGCTATATAAAAAATATTTGCTGTAGCTAATTAATAAAAAAGGAATTTATCATATAGTTTTCGACTATTCAATAGTTTGGTTTTGTTTGGATTTTTTTTTTTTCTTAGTATCTACTGCACCTCATTCCAATTTTTCTGTAGATTTAAATCAGCTCAATATGATCTGGATGAATAGGAGGAAACAAAGAAATGAATGATGTTTAAGGGATCTGTTTTGAAAACTGCTAGAAAAAAATTTATTGTTGTCTTTTCAATATGATTTTAATAACCCATACCAGTTACCAAAAACAAGACGACATTCTTATAGTGAGGCAGACAAAGGATTCATAATTATGGGTTTTGATCTTAAGTTTACACTTAAGTTTACAACCTGAAAAGTCAAATCCAAACTGAAGTGCCATGTTCCTTGTGTCTCATTTTTACTGCCTTGTTAAATGAGTTTATTTTGCATGCATGTTGCAGTGTTTTTCAGATATCAATGTTGCCAGAAGATTTTCACAAACAGTAGCACTTTTCTTGTATTATTTTGCATGTAGCAAAAGTCAACCTTGAACTAATCCTGATTTCTGAGATCAGGGAACTAAAGATAACAATTTAACCACAAGAACATTTAGCACCTTCGCATCGGTGGAATTTTTTCCATAGGACCTTCCAATCCCATTTTAGCTATTGCCGCAGGGCATTAAAACCCAGTGTCTTAGCCTTAAAGTCTGATACAGAGATTTTTATCACCCTATGGTCATAAATTCAGAAAGTTCTGGAAGATGTTCTAAAGCAATTTTGGAATGGATCAGGGAACAAGAAGCATCAGAACGATAGTTTCTTAGCAGGTATGTGTTGCCCTGAGGGCAAGCTGGACAAAGTGGAGGGGTTTGGTTTGTTTGGTTTTTGTTTTTTTTTTTTTTAAAAAGTCACATTCATGACCTGATGCCAAACCTGGGCGGTGCATATTACAACAGGCCAGCCTAGAGACTAGGAAAGCATGGATCCCTATAGTCATGTTTTCATCTAAAAGGACAAAAAGTAATTTCCTATGTAAGGGAAAAGGGAATAGACTTTATTAAGCTGTTTCTATTTGAACTGGAGGCCTATGCACAATCTTCCTCATTGGAAGCAAAGTGCTTGCTATTTCCACTTTTTTTTCTTTTCAGCATGTGCACTGCAGCAATGCTATGGAAAGCTCCCTTTCAACTAGGAAGCAGGAACCAATGCATGGGTTAACATAAAGGGGGCAGGTTTAAATATTAAGAATGGCTTATGGCATGTGTATTTTGCACATTTTCATGTTTCATGTAGTCCTGATACCTTAACACATTTCTTCAAATACAATCTCACCAAAGAAATGCAAAATCAGTAGCATTTCAGGTGGACAATTTCTGTATATCATTAAGGACTTGCATGGGATTGGATTTGCAAAGCCCCAGGCATGCACATTTATAAGAAGATAGAGGAAGAAGTACCAGTCAAGCTAAATCTTCCATAAAACTAAACCAGTTCAATCTGAGAAAGGTATTAGTTACGCTTGGTTTAAACAGAAGTGGGTTGGATCGTTAAAAAATATGTAGTTGTACTTGTTGTATAGAAGGACATAAAAACTATGTGAATAAATAAAACTGCAGTTAAAACATTGTGGAAAAAAGTTAATCTATAATTAGAAAATGTGAAGATATGAATATTATCAGCAGTAATTAAAGATTAACTGCATTGTTCACTGACTAAACTTACAGCTAGTGCTTTATTTAAACTGCTTTTCATTTATTCTAAATAGAAAACTTCATAAAGATCTGAACTGAAGCACCACTTAAAAAACACACTTAGAGCAAGTGATTTATTTTTTCAGAGCCAAGAGAAATAAATGCCTATGCCTGGACCATGAGTAGCTCCAGCTTTCTGGAACCGAAACCTCACGGATGTATTTTTCCTCATGTTACTAACTGTCAGAAACAATAACTTAGCAAGGGAAAAAAAAAATTAAAACCAGTATGGATCGGAAAGTGAAAGTTGGTGTTGCACATAAAAGATCCAGAATATTTACATAAACATTTCTACTTGCATCCTACTTTGCCGAGTAAAACACAGATTAGCTTTTATCCTTGATTGCTTTCTTTATAATACAAAAACAGACAAGCCTTTTGAATACCACAAATTTTTTTCATTGCTATCATTCTGAATTCAGACAGTGGAATGGATCAGAGAACATACTGATACAAATCCAGCAAGTGCACTGGCAAAAACCGCAGCTGGGATAAATCACTTCAGTCCCCACCTCTTGTCAGAATGGTGGTCATGGGTTGACAAGAAACAAATCAAACTGAAAATAGTTGTATTCACAGTTTAGAGCGGTTAACTTAATGAAAGCCACTTCTTTGTGTATCTACTGCAGGCATCCAGCCTTTGAAAGCCCAAGTGCCATAGCTTTCATATCATAAAGATGCATATATTGAGCCTTTTGCTGAGCTAGGAAAATTAGCTGAGCCACAGAATGCGGGGAACAGACTAGTATTCTGACGTAGAGATAATGACAAGAAAAGTCAATAAACTTCAGCCTTTGAGTGAAAATAGTTAAAAAAAAGAATACAAAGCGAGTGAGAAATGGGATTAATCCACGTGAGCACTGAGAAGGAAGCTGAGGGTGTTAAGGAAGGAAATTACTCATTCTCCGTGTTCGTGTATAGGAAAGGCTGAGTAATACAAGGTTGCCTGGTGCCATACACCTTTATGTTCATTTTGGATCACTCCAGTGAAAAACCCCAATTTGCCTATGTCCCCCTCACCACAAGGTGGCACATGTGTACTCCCTAAGATTTTTAACTGCCTCTATAATTTACTTCATTTTTAAGAAGTAACCGTTATCCATTGCTACAGAGAGGATGGAGTGGGGGTAGGATAAAAATCAGGGAATGATAAACTGCATTATTTTATCAAGTATAGACAACTAAACATAAATAAACTATTCTTAATATGTGGACTAATTCCAAACTTTCCTTGTTACTATTATTTAATAAGGGGTATATTCACATCAACAGTGTGGAAATTAAACAGGGTAAGGAGCTATTGAGAATTTAGCTTCAGTTTGTTTTACAAATACATTCACCAGAAACACAACAGAATTTAAGAGTGAAATGGAACACGGACTTTGGGTAGCAGACTGGCGCCAGAGACTGAAATAAGCATACAGAAGCAGAAAAACAGGTACAACTACGCATTATTTTGATTCTCTGTATTTTAAGCCTGCTGGTCACTCATTGGTTGGTATGCCGTGTAAGGGTCTTTTTTTTGCATGGCTGTCACTTTTCATACTCCTGTTGTGAGTTTCAAGAGCTAATAACTACGTATGTTAAGGAAGGCTGTTCCCTAGTAGTAATTTTTAATTCATGCTGATAAAGGTTGTGTTTGAATGTCAGACTTTGGAACATCCAAATATACATTCTCATTTTCACCTAGTGGCTGATCAAATAAAAATCCCAGTGATCATCTGTGCAGTTGTTCCTCTTTTCAAGTCCACGATATAAAAATATACTGCATGATCTATAATGGCCACAGCACACCCCTCTCCACAGTACATAACGGACCCACATGTTTCATATATCCATCAGAAAGGCATTAAGCAGACTATGAATCCACCAAACTGCAGAAGAGATTTGAAAGCAATCTGAGATAAGCGTGTGAGTACAAAAGACAGAAGGAGGAATTTTTTAAGGACAGAAAAATACTGACCTAAATCAAAGCAGAGAAACACTAGCTAGCATGCAAAGCAATTCTATCCACACACCACAGAATATATGTTTTTAGAAAGTAGATTCTTGGAGATTTAAAGTATGAACTATGTACATAGCTCCCTCTGATGACCATTGGACACGATACAATGCAAGTCTCCTTTTATTTTTGCTAGTGCATTCAACTGACAGCTGACTGGTTAAATTCTAATTGCTTCCAAGTGAGGTCAGCAAAGGTATTTATCGAAAAGGACTGAACAACAGGCTCAACACACACATGCACGCGCACACATAAGCACATACACACCACCTCTCCAGCGTGTTGATTTATGGAAACAATTATAATTCTGGTGGAGTCTTTCTGAGCTGAGAAAGTTTGTAGCTACAGTAGAGTGTCTCATGTTGCAAAAAGCAGACAACAGAAATGGAATACTTGGGTATCCAGCTCTTATCAACAGGAACAAGTAAGTTATCTGTCCTTTATAAGAACGTTCAACAGTTTCTAATAGCTAATAGCTTTTATCTTCATTTGTATATGCTAGATGCTAAAAAGGCATTAAGAAAACTATTTCTATTAATAAACTGAAAAGGGTAGGAATAAAAATACAGGGCTAAAACTAGGAGGTCTGTTTAGAAATTTGAACTAGAGAAAAGTTTTCTGATAGATTGTGCTAGTAGTGAATATATAGGTACAAAGTAATCAGCAGGATTTTACCATGCATGAGAAAGTAGTTCAACTGAATCAATACGGGATTTTTGGAAGGACTTAAAACTGAAGAAAGAACTATGTTTACCATCAGTTTAAATGTCTGTTTATGTAAAAAATTGTGCAAGATATCTCTATTGTATATACATTTGCATATTTTTAAAAATCAGCTTAGCATGCCATACATTGATGTATAGTACTTTTCAGTAGCATAATGTATCCTTGCATGTTTGTAACAATTGAGCATAAAGACTTATACATGCACCTTTTCTCACAGATCTTTTACTTTCAGTGCAAGCAGCAAATTCAAGTAGTACAGAAGGTCACGACAACAAAGGTTTTTATAACTTGTGTCTTTAAAGGATATTCTGACTGAAGAGATATTTAAGAAGCTCTTCTATTTCGCCATTAACTATTAAGGAATAACGATCAGAATTCTAGAAGAGGGAACAATCTCATTTAAAAGAATCTGTAACTCGTAAAGACAGAAGGCAGGTCGGTGACCTAAGAGCAACAGTCTACTTGAGATTTAGTTTTCATTATGTTGTTCATGAACACCCAGAACACTGCACTATAATGCACAAATGGATACTGACATGGATCCTGCCAATTTTGCTCTACAGATCATACTTTTACATTATCTTTCTAATGGGCACTATATCTTTAGCTTGCAATGACATGACTCCAGAGCAAATGGCTACAAATGTGAACTGTTCCAGCCCTGAGCGACATACCAGAAGCTATGATTATATGGAAGGGGGGGATGTAAGAGTGAGAAGACTTTTCTGTCGAACTCAGTGGTATATGAGGATTGATAAGCGGGGCAAAGTAAAAGGGACAAGAGAAGCAAACAACAACTACAGTAAGTAATATTTTTGCTTTTCCTATTTCTAAGTTTTTAGAAATTGTTCCTTGTTCCTTCATTTATAGTACTTTCAAAAGAATTTTGTATAGTGTACTGACCATTGTATAAGACAAGTTTTCCAATTAATCCTACAGCAGGACATTTGTTATTGATTTTGAAATGCGTCATTTAAAATGCTACATTGTAGATCTGCTAATGTATTAGTTACAGCTGGTAACTATTAGCAAACAGAGAGCCTATTTTAACAAGTGAATTAAGGTTGTAAGTATGAAAATGTATAACCACAAACTCTGCTCATAAAATACTTATGAAACATTAAACCACATTTATATAGTCCACAAACTACCTAAAAGTTTGGTGTATTTGAGTTAACAGTTAAAACATATGCAATACTAGAAAGTTCAATGGAAAGAATTATGTAAACTCTCTTGCAAAATCTTTTAGATAGTTTGCCAAGCCAGGAACAAAATCTATTATAGTTTCTGCAGTTCATTATTACAATGATCATGATGCTGAAAAAATATTCTCTCCCCTTTCTTCCAAAAACATGACTCATCTAGAGAGAATGGTCATATAATATTTTGCAAAGCTGTACCAAATACAATTTTTGAACTGGCAAAAGAATTGTTGTACTAATCTGTATTTTTCACACAAATACCTATATATCTTCCATTTATACTTGAAGGTATCAATTTTACAGTCACTATTTTTGCCACTTTGGTTTTCATGGTGTTCATTACAAATACATTGCTTATTTAGAGGAATATGACATCTAGAGAAAAGACATTACTTCATAAGATACAACAGAAAAATACATAGGATTATATTGCATATTTCAAAACAAAATTATAAGGAAAAGGGGCCAGAGACATGTTGTTTATAGTCAATTGAAAGGACAAATATATTTCCAAGGATGCCATTAAATACAGTTTTAATGTAGGTTGTACAGATTATTGTGCTTTTTATAACAGCAGCAGCAAAATAAATCAATAAATCAGAACTGTTAGTGTGATTCAGTTTTCAACTGAAGTTGACTGCTTGTTTTCTATAAGAACAGCACTTTTGCATGCTAAGCGCCCGGCTGGTGGGCTTCATAATTTATTTCTCTCCTTCATGTCTACATTAAGTGCTTGGCAACTTGCGTGGTTAAAACTTCATTCACTAATGTTACTGTTTCTTTTAAAATTTGTTTCCATATGTCTCCTTTCTTCCTACACTATTACATAGCGAACAACCATATTCCTCTGAAAGACAACACATGGCCAACAGCCAAAAAAATTATTTGATCCATATTCAGGATGACTCCCATTGAGTTTCAGGAGGACATTGCCACAATAGAGGTCCATAGGGCTAGTTTCAAAGATGAAATGTTGCTCCCATAAAAATCACTGGGAAAAACTGTTACTGACTTGAAATAGTTTCCTCTAAATTTTTGCAGATAAGTGAATATCCACTGTCCCCATTTTTTTCTGTTATTATTTACAAAGATAAGAGATTATGACAGCATATAGAGCTGAATAATTATATAAATGTGCTTTTTTAGTTCCACACTGCTTAAGTAAAAACTTTGTTAGTAATTTAGCATTATTTCAAATTCAAGTAAACATTCTCAATTTTCTGCAGTATCCCATGCTGCTGAAGCACACTGATGACACCCTGAAATGTTCTGTAGTGAAACCATTAGAGAATCTCAGATCATCTTGTGCTAAAGGCAATCCATTTTCTTGTTGTCTTCTGAACACTTTACAAATATTTAGTGATGGTAACTAACAATTACAAATTACAGAAAGGCAACCTTGAGTCGTTAAACCCTCACATTTATATTGCAGTGAAAAAAATTTTTGAATTTTTTTCTGGTAAATGCAGCACGTATCAGGAGAAGAAACAATCAATACTTGAATGGTTCATCTGGTAAATGATGTGCACTATGATGAACTGCCTCCACTAAATTTAACTAAAGGATGTGGGAAGTCTCCCACCATCTTAAGTATCTTGCTTTAATTTATCTATTGTGTACTAGGAAATAATATACAAGTACTTTTGTTGAACAAATAGAATAGGGAAATATAGACAGAGGTCTACACTGTGTAGAAAAATGTGTACACTGACAACTTGGATTTTCTGAGAAACTAAAAAAAAAATTGCTGTTGTGAAAAACTTCTTTTTTGTCATACCCTCTATTCAACAGAACACATAAGAAGCCTTTTTGAAGACTGTGTTTATGGCTCTGTACTAAAATACACATAAAGAAAATAATACGATATGAGGGGAAAAAAACAAAACAACAAAAACCCCCACCTGGACTAATAAACATTTTGCCCAGGCAAAGTGTAACAGTAGAAGACTAATAGGCTATTTTTATCCAGGGTGTCTGAAAAGCATAATTTTAAAATCATACCCATTAAAAAGATGTATTAACCTAGGGTGTTCAAATATTCTTGTTCCATGATTTCCAGTTCAGAAAGTTAGCAAATCAGACCTGTTTCTCAGGATGGAATCCCAGAACAGTTGCAGTCAAATTAATCAATGGGTATGAAAAGTGTTGCTCCGAGAAGTATCTTCTTATTTTATCCTAATTTTCCATTTACGTAATAAATAAAAGGATCCTTTTCCCTTTTGAATCACTAACATGCTACTAAAATGAAAATAAGAAAAATTTCATATTTTTAACTATCGTAACTTAGCTTCATAACAGAAGCTGCATTGACAGTTTTGCAGACAGTCAACTACTTCTTTTCAGCCCATGAATTGTGAAGCGTGAATAATGTGAAGAGCAACCTTTGAGCACATTGAGAAATGTCTGCAGAATGATAACTTCATCATAACTTTGGCAAGTGCCAAAATGCACAGAGTGTCTCTCATCAGTCGAGACTATAAATGCAAGAATGCCAAGACGGTAAGGAATTAGGGTCTTTGTTTTTCAAAATTCTCTAGTAAGTTACAGAATAAAATATATATACACATCCTATGAAAGTAACAGCAAAAACAATGAAAGTGTGAACATTTCCCAAGATTTTAATTCAAAAACAACTGTATCAAATGTATGTGGATTGAAATTTCATTACAAAACTAAATACCAAAACAAATCCTCACTCACCAATTGTAATCAATCTGTAGTTATCATTCACTTGTTTCAAAACACATTACAAGTTAACTGCTTAGTGCAAGAAATATGTGCAAGAAATTCACTCTTTCAACGAAAGCAAATTCTTGAATCCTGTTTACAACAGTGATGGCCTTGTTATGTATCCAAAAAATATTATTCTGTGCACATTTCAGAAAGCAGGAGAGCCTTCTGGTGGACATAGAGGTGATAACTCAACAGTAAGCCAAAATCAGAGGACAGTCATCTCCACTAAGCAGAGGAAATCACTTTGCACCTGACAGCTTTGCTTTCATTTTGAAAACTAAAAGACAGAGTGAGAACTGAGAGTCAAGTACTGAAAAAATAAAGCAAGAATTAGGAAGCAGCCAAGAGATCAGGTCACCCAGAAAAATATGTTATTATTAATAAAATATTTTCTCCTTGACGGTCACTTATTATAGGTTGTCCAAGCCTAAACTATATACATTTTTATTAAAAAATTATTTTCTATCTTGTTCATGTAAAATAATCTAAATGAGCACACAAACCAGACCTTCTTTGCAATCAATTCATGACTGTAAAAAGTGAGAGTGACTAAACAAATCTTGGAGATAACATGGCAATTTGTTAATTCTTTATCTTTTCTAGAAAATAAATCTCTCCTTATTACTGCTTACTCCTTTCATTTTGGTTTGTGTTTATGAGTTTTGCCAGATTTTATTTGATTTTGTTGAGAAAAAAAAGCAGCAAAAAATCAGAGTTTATTTTGACTCTATTCAAGAGGATTTACAACTATGACTGGATGATGCTTTAGGACTTTCCACGCTCTGTTGCCTTTGGAATCTCATTTTAAAGACTTCAAAGGGTCTCTTCGTTACTAGAAAAGCCATCCCGGAACCTGAATCCTAAGATGTCTGATCCTATCATTTTCCATGTGTGCTCTAAACCCAGAAAGTGCCTATTTCCTCTTCTTGTCAGTGGATAAAGCCAACCAAAAAAACCCCCCAAACTCTACTCTAGCAAGATCTTGGCACAAAATGGCTGAAATCTTGATTAAAATTTTCATATTGGAAAACTACTTCTATTTTGATCATAATCCAACAAGTCACAGTTTTCAGCAATGTTAAATGAACTCTAACTCACTTTTGTTCAAACATAAACCATAACTGATGACAAAATACACTTTATACGCATCTTAGTGATTAAATACTCAAATTTGCCTAGAAGTCAAAATTATTTCCAATAGCATTTTATATATGCTTCTTAGAGTAAAACAAATGTTGGACTATGCATGCTGTGCCACTGTATAACTTTTATTCCTGTTGTTTAAATATATATTACATAGAGGAGCAAGAAGATTCATTATCTGAAAATCAGATATTTCAAGGCAGGTATTGAGGTACCAGGTTCGGTTAAGGGTTATTGTGTGTTCCAACCAAACAGGAAGTCTGTCTTTGCAACTGCGTTCTTCATTTTTCAAGAGGTTGTTGGTTCAACCACTATGTTGGCATCAGGAGAAGACAAACCTTCACTAATGTGAAAGTGCTATTGCTTCACATTAGTGCTCTGCTAATCTTTTCAATGATAACAGAAAGAGATTTAATTTAAATAGCAATATATGTGTATCTTCTCAAAACTTGGCCTACAGTGCCAAGGATGACTTTCTCTCCTACAGTAATTAATCAGTTCTAAATATAACAGATTTCCCTGCTTCCAGTATAGCTCTTTGTCTAGCACTGGTGGCAGATAACGCCCCTCAAGTTTCAACCAGCAGAAGAGACTCTACGTATACCTTAGCCTATATCTTACCACAAATCCTAGCTCTTCACCATCAACTGCTGATGAAGATGCCGATAACAGAAGCAGCAGAGTTATGCCTAACAGCTTCTCTATAAGAGGGGAAAGTGAGGAG